GCCCCTGTACACCATGCCGAAATTCCCCAGCCCGAGCTCGTTCGAGATCTCCACGCTCTCCCTGGGCACCTCCCACTCGTCGATCACGTATTTCGTCTCTATGTAATCGGGGTTCACGCTCGCGATCAATCTCTCCTGATTCTTCCTCTTCCGGTGATGCCTCCACACGACGAACAACACGACCGATGCCATGGCCAGGACGCAGAGCACGAGCAACGCGACCAGCGTGACGGGTGCCGAGTCGGTCAGGTCTATGGAGAAGTGGACCACGTCCGAGAAACGGCCGTCCCCGGCCAACGAGGTGGACCTCATTCGAAGGCTGTACTTGCCAGGGCTCAGATTCTTGATCAGGTAACTGCCCGTGTCTATACGGGGCTGGCTCGTCCTTGGGATGCACTCGGTGCTCTTCTTCGCGTCCTTCACGTCCAGGTTCGTGTACTCGATGGTGTAGGACACGGTGAGGGCGTTGGGATCTTTGACCAGGTCCCAGAACACCTCCACTATAGTGTTGTTGGTCACCCTCACCCTCACGTTGCCCACGTCGTCGGCGCGGCCACGCTTCCTCGTCCTCGCGTGCGTGTACTGGATCGACGAGCACATGTTCGACTCGTCCACCTTGACGCCGCACGCGGCTATGGTGACTATGTAGCGGGAGTAATGGCGGAGATCGTTGATCACGTACGAATTGTTTTGCCCGCTCACGTTGTACATGACCGCGTCCTTGTCCACCACCACCACGTTATTATTGTTATTGTTGTTGCTGCTGCTGCTCGACCTGGACGCGTCCGCTTTGTCGTCCTCCGGCCTGGGGGTGGACAGGTTGTTGGCCAACTCGTAGAACCGGTTGTCGACCGCGTTGTAGTTGTTGTACACGCAGTAATCCTTCCAACCGGGGGATATGTAGCTGATGGTGGTGTTCTCGTGGCAGAATATCTCGAATTTCTTGGACGTGACCACGCTCCGGCCAGGGTTCTTGGAGCAACACGAGACGCCGCCCCCGCTCGCGACGGGCGTCTTCACCGTGACATCGGGCACGACCACCGTCCTCTCCTCCGCGTCGAGGTCGTTCTCCAACGTGTCGTTGCAGTAATCCCTGGACGAGATCAAGCCCTCGTCCTCCCGGATCATGGTGACGGAGAGCATGTAGTATCCTATGGGCCCGTTTGGGAACAAGGGTGGCTCCCACTTGACGAGGATCTCGGTGTCGCTGTACGGGCCCGAGATCACGTTCATCGGGGGGGATGGTATGGTGCTCTTTGTCCTGAAGAAGATGATCCTCGACTGGCCGACCTCGTTCGGGTTCACGAAGAAATTCGTGGTCCTCGAGTTGAACGTTTTCACGTAAACGGCGTACATCGTGTACGGTTTCAAATTGGCGATGTGCTTGGAAACGGGGGACGTCCACCTCGGTATGTCCACGTCGAGTATCTGCCACGTGTTGTTTCCGCCGCAGGCGTTCATCTCGTAAGTGATGTTCTCGTTCTCGGTCTCGATGTAATTCAACAGATAGCTGAGCAACTGTTGCCCCTCGGGCGCCTTGTAACTGTCCCACATCAGATCCGCGTAATCGGGGCCGAGATTCTTCACCGTTATGTTTATGTTCACTATGTTGCACGCGACCTTCTCCCCGTTCGACTGGGGTTGGATCTCGAGGTCGGTGAAGTTGGAGATGTTCACCATTTTGCTGAACTGCACGATCTTGGACAGGCAGAGTTTAGGGTTGTAATGGAAGAACAGGCGGCCGTTCTCGATCCTGATCTCCTGCTCGGGGGGGAACAGGCTCGACAGATTCGGATTGTCGAGCACGGAGAGGCTCGCGTTGTTTATGTCCAGTTGCTCTCCCTTGATCACCCTCAACCTCTTGAAGAAGCTCAGCGAGGTGATCGGGAACGAATGGGTGATCTTCACGTACTCGGTTATCTCCTCGATCCGGCCGAACGCCTCGCTCAACTCGTTCATTATGTTCGGGTTACCGTTTCGTATCTGGAACTCGAGCGCCCCCTTCACCACCGTTATACCCCGGAAACTTTGGGCGTCGGATATGTGACGGATCAAAGCTCCGTGCCCCACCTTCCGGCAACTGTTCATGCAAGCGCGACACGTGGTCATCTGCAAAACAGACAGAGGGAAAGAATAGGAAAATTTATTATTATCACTGCTATTATACATATAAGAGATCATTATATTATATGCAAGAGAAACGTGAATCGGTTTTCCTCTCTTCGAAGAACCGGTATGGCTATATCAGACAAGTTTTTCAGCGAACGGAAAAATATCTTATTTGAAATGAGACGCGTGTAAATCATATTTCGAACGGAGTATATCTTAGTAGCTTAGTATTCTATACGCCATGCTTGGTCGGCGCGCAATTGCCAATTACCACCACCCTCCTCGAGTAGATCCTGTCGTTCTGTAATTGGCGATTTAGCATTTTAACGGCTCGAATTCTACCAATACTTTTCCTTTTTAAGCGTTGAATTAAAAAAAAAATGGAACGTTTAAATCCTCCTTCATATTAATCACCGATCGGATCCAACGATTAAATCGAATGGAATTGAGATCAAAGGGGATTTCGAGAATTTTCGGAATGAAACGTACGTTGTTTTCGTCGAGGGCGTCCTCGTATCCGTCGGGGCAATGAGTCACGCACGATCCATTGAACGGTCTCCAGGCCAGGCCATCCTCCAGAACGTAGTACACTCTCCTCAGACGATTCATCTTTACGCATTCGTCTTTCGTGACGCACCGCCTCGAGAGATAGGAATATCTGTGGAAAAATTCGAGCAGAGAATGAGAGAATCTCTTCCAATTTTTCTTTCTTTCTTTCTTTCTTTTTTTTTTTTAACTCGAAGGGATACGAAGGAGGAGAGGAAGACGAAAGTTTGTTACTCACAGATGGGCGGGGCACGTCTCGACGCATTTCCCCTCGTGGCGATAATGCTTGCAAACGTAACACTTGCTCTCGGTGGGGCCGTGACACTCGCCCAGACACTGCTCGTGACATCTCGGTTTTTCCATCCTCTGACAATACTGGGAAGTCCAACAATAACCGGCAGGACAGTGGGAACATCCTGCGGAGAGGGGAGAGAGAGAGAGAGAGAGAGAGACTCGATTAATGGC